TACTTTGGCCCATGTTGGGGCAGAGCTAGACATGGTGGAAATGAAGTGTTAGGCACCTTTAGTTGTTTATTTAGCAGCTAGTAAGTTAGTAACTATGGAGATGGGTGTGTGGGATGGGATAAAGCAGTCAAAGGGGCCTGGATTTCCCTTAATTTGTGTAAAGCCACAAAATCTACAATGCTGCAGGAACAATGTCTCACAATGTTTGAATGCAAATGCAATTATTAAAGTTCTATTGAGCTGTATGATTTAGGAATTGTTATGGGATATCCCACATGGGTATTGTGGTTATCATGTCTGTTGTGTCTGAGTTCAGGACCTGTCTCAGTTTAGAACCCAGTCACTCAGTCCAGAACTCAGTTGTCTCAGTTCAGAACCCAGATAATCAGTCCAGAACTCAGTTGTCTCAGTCCAGAACTGAGACAGGTCCCCAACTGAGGTACAACATGTCTTTTATCTTGTGATGGTATTAGTATAGGAAGATGGATAGCAATGTTTTTGTAAAGCACACATCACCCTCACTAATTATTTGTGTTCGAAAATTCTCTTGTTGTGAGAACTACTCTAGTCAACCTCACTGGGATGGTGGTTGACTTCAGGCTGTTCGCTTCTGCCAAACATAATCTCAAGCATATCAAGATCATGATCCTTCATAATGACTTGTCCATCTTTTACCCCACTTGGTCATCTAATGTCATCACAGTTGACGTTGATGGGATAGCGGACTTCACCAGCCATTCCTGACCAATCAAAGTCGATTAGCATAAATTTGCCCTCACCATTCTTTTGCACAAAGAGGTTTGTATCACGCAAATCACCATGGACGAAGTTCTGTTCATGAAAAGTGTTGACAACTTCCTCAACTCGGTGGCGGAGTACCTCAATGGATGGAAAGCTGATTTTGTCTTTAGTCTGATGTGAATATGGTAAATAGGCTTGATCCATCATGTCCATTACTACCATGTACCACTTGTGTGGAAGTTGTTCGAAGCCACACAAACGCAGTGCCACACCCAATGAAGCAAGGTAACGGTGTGCTGCTGCTGAATAACTCCGAGTATACTTAATGCATATAACATCGCCAGCAGTCGTCTCGCCAAAAAAGATTAACTTCCCCGAACTGTGCTGTTTAGTATATTTGAAGTTCATGGTAGCATTATCTACCGCATACTCATGCTTATACAGAAAGTTCGTATTTGGTAAACTGACAAAAGTCCCCTTCCATAATGGTTTATGTCGCCCGTGCTCGTAGTAACTGCGCAGTTTGTTTACAGTCCACATAAATGCGCCAAAAACTCGTGCTGTCCAAGTCTGCATGATCGTGTCATACAGATGCCAGATGACCAGGTAAACGGGTAGCAAGACTTCTAAGTGGACACCATTTTTACTAATTGCTGAACCTGTGAAACCGAAGAATGCACCTACGAAAAGCATTAATTTTCAGCAAGCACAATACATTGTGTACAGACAGCATTTTGAAAAAAAAAATTACTTTATTGACTCACCAAAGTAGAAAATATGTAAGCATGGTAGCGTAGAGGCTGGGGCATCCAATGACAGCTTGTGCATAAATTCATAATAATAGAGTCCCCCTTGGAGATACGCATCTGCACCACTGTTGCCGATCTCATTCTTGCACCCAGTAATAAGATAAGGATAGTTGTTCGCAAGTGCATGACCGTCTGTTATATAACCAGTATCACAGATATGGGCAGCAAACAATTGGGTGTTGTAATGCCTATTCTAAGTGTCACGGAACGCGGCTGCGCGGAATCTCTCGTGCTCATACCATTTTGACATCGAGTTTGAAAGATCAAGCACGAAAGCATTATCTACCGACATAGGCTCGTATGTCTCAAGTTTTTGCAGAAAACTCCTGAAGATGGGATGCAGCAATGTGATTGGCACGATACTGGTCCAAAGCGGGCGACCACAGTGTAATATTGGATGATCTTTTTCAAAATTTCCCTGAAGCCTGGCAAAATTTGATGGAGTTGCCCTAGCTGACGGTGCCTCAGGAGGGTAGTGTTCGAATATTTCTTGTCTACGTCTCTTTGCATCACTCTCTGGAGATCTCTCACTATTGTCAGTGGTAATCCTCTTAGCTGAAACACCTTTAAAATAGACATATGACAAACAAGACAAACACAGATGTGCAAAATAAACGTTAAACAATAAGAAATAAGATGTTAGTGATAAACAGGTAGATTTGTATACTCGTAATCCATCAAGGTTGGAGCACCTGTATCTGATAGATTCATAATAACCTATGTCCCCAACGCCCGAGTCACAAAGTCATTACCTGCTGGAGCCACTGGGAGTTTCAGTTGTAGCTCCCACACTTGCACTTCCCAAATGTCACGTTTCTTCTTCAGCTTGTCCTCCTGCTTCTCTAGCCTATCAAACTCCTTCCTCTCTGCAACGCTAAGCTCGGTCTTGATGCTTAGCTCATCAAACCTCTCCAGCTTCGCCTTCACATCATCATACTCTTTCTTGGCGTCCTGGTATGCTTGTTGGATGTTCATGTTAAATGGCTGTAAAGTTTGTCTTCGTGCTGTGCAATGTGTTCTAATTATCATATACTAACTAATACCTAGGGGTTAGTTAAATATATGGGGGGTACAACTCAATGTTACACAACTATGATCAGTGATGCAAAAACTGTCATTACATAGTAAATCATATAGAATTTATAAGTGATCGCCTTGACCTTCAAAAACTCTCATTGCATGTTTTTGTGAAGCAGACCAGCTATTGGAATAAAATTTTTTTTCCGAAACTCAGAATAACCCCGAAATTAATGCACAACCATAAAAAACTTCATAACTGCATTTTCCGCTGTGAAAAAGTGAATCGTATGCTGAAAACAGTTACTTCTTATATACAGTATAAGTGAGAATGAAGAAGGTGATTAAGGCAAGTAAGAAATATATTGACAGTAGTAACATAGTTAATAACGTTTCCTCTACTGTTTTTAGAGAAGCCGGAGCTTATATTTGGAGAAAGAGACAAATCACTCAACAACGAAACGCTTAAAGCCCAAAGATCCTAAAATAGAGGCTTTGCAAGAACTTTACCAACTCCATCCTAACATTAATGGTCGAAGTGTATGGTTTTTCCCAACACTCACGAAATCTGCAGAAGGTTGTATCTTGTATGAAAAGGCAGAAAACTGCACTTATGTATATGATATGATTACGCAAAGTCGATTTTCTTCCTTTGCAGCTTGGATAAAGACACTCAGTGGCAAGCGTTTTTTTAAAGGGAAAAAATCTGCATTAGCCACCATATTTTTGGAACCTAGTTGCAAGGGACCGAGTGTTGGCCAAATAATAAGAGGAAATAGCTATACGTCTTATTTTAAGAATGCAGAAGTAATTTCATTATTCAATATTAAAAATACGCTATCGATGATGATACGCAATGACACGGAGTTTATGGGTATAACTCTAACGGAAGGTGACAGTTATTTACATCTTACATTACCTGGCACAAATGGACAGAAGGAACTATGCATCAAGCAAGCGTCTCATGCATCTGATGAACGTATAAAATGCTTTATGTTTGTGAATGGTTATGAAGTCAGAGACAATTTTCTAAAAGAAAGTGGTGTAAAAAGTCATAAAATCTCAACTATCAAGGACATTCTTTCAATTGTACAATTTTTCAAAAAATTGCATGTCTGTGTAGGGCAATGTACTAAAGGTTAGATTCTAAAAACTCCTCCCTATTTCTCATGGATCCTTTATCCAGAATATAACAAGTTTTTTTCTTAATACATAAATAGGATTTAAACAAACTTCTCATTTACGAGGTGACCATCTATATTCAAACGTCCTTGGCCCAACAAATGATCATGAGATTATTGCAAATTTAGAAAATAAAGGGGTTGACAATGAAGCATATCGTGCAGTCGACTGTATTCTTCTTGTGAGAGAAGGCAATGTATGTGCAAATTGCAAGTTATTGCACAACATGTTGTATCAAATTGAAAAACGACATACAAAAGGCATTAAATCTGTTAAAACGCCGCATGCATCCAGAGAGCTTCTATCTGAACTTGTTCAGAATGCAAGAACGGTATTTAATTTTTAATGTTACTAAAATAAATACAACATAGTTTCAGAAAAGCTTCTTTCTGATTAACTCGCTCGTCACAGCTAGTTTGTGAGGTTGCTACTATTTATTAAATAACATTCAATTATTTCAGGTAATCAAATTCCAGAAAGAATTGACTGAAAATCTTCGCAACAGACTAAAAATGAAGATTGAAGCGGAAGAAGAGTATGCCTCAGAACTGTTAATTAGCATGGTTCACAGTGTAGTTGATGAAGTCTTGGATAAAAAGCATGAAAACGTAACAAATATCATTTTAAAAGAGCTGATTCGTGCGCAAAGCAAAAAACCAAAAGGAGCGTGATATCATCCCATGTAAGTAGCAAAGATAATGGTGATTTTCTCAGTTAAATTTTATTTAGACTTTACATAATTATATTATTAGATTTATTCGATGGGCAATATCAATTTATAGTAAGAGCCCTGCTGCTTACAAGACAATGAAATCTGTTATCTGTATGCCATCAGTGTCATTACTAAAAAATTATATCAATGAGACTAATCAACAAACGGGTTGGCAAGACAAGATGGTGTCGTGTCAACCAATCACGGGAGAGCAGATGATGATCAACACGGTTTGAGATTCAGCTTAGGCCTTCGAAAGTGCG